CCCCCCCCCCCCCAGATGTCAACAATGGAGCGTGCTTTCCATTCCTCTTGCATTCTCTGCCAAAACTCCATGGAAAGAGAAATGGGGGATTCTGCTCATTGTTTTTTTAAGTAATGAATTGATGCAGAAAGGATTTCCTCAAGGTAGAAACTGTTAAAGCCACTGTTCTGGATAAATGTAGATGTAACTAAATATCACAATGTAAGGCTTAAATTATTTGAAGCCCTCTCTCAAAAAGGGCTCCCAGCGGAGCCAACATGATCCATCATCTTTTCCAGACCAATAAACATATTTCTGTGATAGATTTCTCTCTGCATGAGCTGTCTGGATGAGTTCTTAGAAACCCAAGCCCTGTCTCTTTTCCTTGCATTTTATAGGATCCCTAAGGCACCTTATTCTGTAGTGTCAAGGAAATTGCTGTTATAGAGAAACCAAGCCATGGAAAGGACTGGGGAGGGCATTGATTAAATATTTAAAGAATAAGTTTTGCTTCCTTTAAACTAGTATGTTTAAAAGCTGGTTGCTAAATGTGATGTCTTACAGTATAGATGATTGCCACATTGAGGGTTTTTGAATCTGGTGGTTCTTCTTTGTTGTCTCTGTGAATGCACACTAATGGATTTTAGTGCACCTGCACAGAGCAGCCTCGGAAAATTCCAGAGCTTAAGCACATGGTGCCGGGACCTCCCACAGGCTACCCTTAACCCTGGCCCCGGCACCGAGTGCCTCAGTGCCGTTTTCATTGCCACTGCAGCAGCTTCTTGGCTTTGGAGCTAAAATTATTCCCATTTCGGAACAACTTACCTTTGGACCTCTTGGACTTTTGATTCAGATTTTTGACACTGCCTTGGACCTATGAGTGAAACAAGAAGCATAAAACTGAGTTACCATATTTTTCCATGTACACGACCCCCCAATGTATAAAACGACCCCTTAATTTTGACCCTTGATAGAGGCGGAGGAGCAGTTAATGGGCAACTGCTCCTCCACCTCCGTCTCCTGCTGCTGCTGCTGTCTCTGCTGCCCACCCGATCACCTTCTCCAGTGCAATTGCCGGGGCTCACCTCCAGCTCACCTCACCGCCTTGTCCCCTGCCCTAAGGAGACAATCTCTGGAGAGGTGATCCGGCAGCAGCTGCAGGACGAGGTGCCCAAGCGCTCATGAGTGCTTATTTACCTCCGCCTCTACCTCTGTCTCCGCCTGCCTCCACCACTGGAGGAAACAAGGCAGTGACGTGAACTGAGCCCATCAGTCCCACGGGAGGTGGTGATTGGGCAGGCAGGGGAAGCAGCAGCAAGAGGCACCTAAGCACGTGTGACTGCTCCTTCGCCTCTGCCTCCTGCAGCCTCCACCACCAAAGGGGACAAGATGCTGATGTGAGCTGAGCCCGTGAGTCCCACTGGAGATGGTGATCAGGCAGGCGGGGGAGACAGTAGCAAGACGCACCTGAGCACGTGCGAATGCTACTTTGCCTCCTTTTCTGTCTCCTCCTCCTCCTGCTGCTGCTGCCTCAGCCACTGGAGGGGACAAGTCATGAGGCAGTGGTGGTAGCAAGAGGCTCCCAAGCACGCACACAACTGCTTCCCATATATAAAACAACCCTCAAATTTTCCTCTAATTATTTTAGGAAAAAGTGTCATTTTATACACTGAAAAATACAGTATATTTCCTCATACCCGTGCTCTGTGCTTTTTGTTTATGGCTACTTAGGCCACCTTCAAGTGGTGTGAAACCTGCCCGAAAAAGATAACTTTATCAGACAGCCTCTCTTGTTGCCTGTTTTGTTTGGGAGAAGAGCATCAGCTGGCCCTTTGTGCAGCTTGTAAAAAGTTTACAAAGCCGGCGCTTAAACTAAGGCTTCAGTGCCTTCGCTCTTTTCTGTGGGAGAAGTCTCTTTGCCCCTCCCAGAACCAGCCATGGAACCTTCTCAAGCCCGCTCTTTGGAGCCTTCTTCAAGTGCCGGCCATTCTCAAAAAATATTTAAAATGGCAGCAAAGTCACATGCATCCTCCTTGAGCTTGAGGTCGACCATGCCAGCATTGATACCGAAGCCGTCTTTGGCCTCAGCATCGAAGAAGAAAAAGCCTTCAGAGAAGGCCTCGCGGTCGGCGATTATCGACTGCAGCATGAGTTGGTGTGCCTCAGCATACTGTCTGGAGATGAGGAAGTTCCTCCCCTGAGGCAGGTTATCACGCCATCCCCACAACTTTGTCAGTCTCCAGACTGGGGAGATACCTCGGCTGAGGTGCAGAAGTTGGTGCAGGTTAGCCCGTGTTTTCTTCCGGGCTCGTCATCAGGATGGGTGTCAATGTCACTACTGGTCTCTGTCTTGCCGGAGGCTCCTAGAAAGAGGAAACAGAAGACTCACCGTCTAGAGCCTCCAGCCGAGCCCAATGTTTATCGGTATTGGGCAGTTCCTTCAGATTATTATTATACACATCATGGATTGCAGAGGGCTTGGCATTACGACCAGCGTTATCACTATGAGGCTGAGGCCTTTGAGCCCGATACTCACCAGGTATGCTGTGCCATATAAGCCCAAGTCATACTATCACCACTGACCGGCGCTTTGCTATTATGGGCTGTATTCTCCTTCACCATTGCCTTTGTCCCCCTGGTATTGACAGTTTGCTGACCGCTACTTTTACCTAGAGGATTACTGGCCCAAATTGGTGTAATGGAGGTGTGGTGATTTCCTCTCAAGCCCCTATCCCCCCAGGCCTTCACAAGGTTCTTGTTCTTCTTCCTTCTTTGCTGCCACCAGGTTTTACTGCTTGAATACCATTTAATCATGGAGACATGTGTGCTTTTAAAACTTAAGCCATTTATTAGATCAGGGAAGTTAATATATGATTAATATTCAAGAGAAAAATCATAGGCTGCCAATCACTTGTATTTGAATCAAATCTCCTATAACTTTAACCCTCAGTTTCAATCTTGGCTCTTACAGATCTCTAACTCACTCTTAGTTCACTTTTAAGTTTCACACAGTCTCTCCCTACCAGAATCTCTCTCAGACTCCCTACACCAGTCTTTATATCCAACTCCCTTCTCCCTTGGCTCCGCCTTCCGTCCTCTCATTGGCTCTTTCTTCACTCTTTCTCACCTGCTGTGACAGACAGGTGAGGCCAGGCTGTTCGCTACAGGAGGTATACCAAGAGAGCCCTCCCAGATGACTTCCTACCCCCAGCACAGTCGAAGAGATTTCAAGCCATCATTCTTGGCCGGATTCTGCCTCCCAACCTTCAGCTTCACCTGCTTTGCCTCCTCAGAGGCCTGAACGGGAGAATAGGACAGATCATTTGATGTCGGCCAAAATGTACTGACCAGAGGCCCACCAGGATGCCCTCTCACCATCCCCTGAGCATGTCCCCGATGACTTTGACACTGAGTTGGAGGCTTCCAATATTGATATCGACAAGGTATCTCCACTGAAAGTCTCGACCCTGGGCTCGGATGTAGCTGAGAACCATCCACCCTCTCCATCGGAGGATTACTCGTATTTCTTGCAGCTGATCCGCTGGATTACAAAAGTGATAGACCTGGCCATTGATCAACTGGTGGTAGAGGATGTGGATAAAGTTTATGAGGATATCATTCAGGACCAAACCCCTCCTCTTTGCCTTGCATTTATCTCTTTGCCCCTGAAACTTGTGAGGGAATCTTGGAAGAAGCCTTCTATGTCCCACCAAATACCAAGAAGGGTAGAGAACCTCTACAAAATGCATGTGTACAACACGGATTATCTGTCAAAACATCCTCTCCCCAGCTCCGTGGTCAACACCACACAGGGCTAGGAACTGTTTGGTGTCAACACCGAACAACAAGGAGGGGAGGAAGCGGGACATTCTCAGCTGTCGAGTCTACTCCTTAGCTTCCTTTATCCTGAGGGTGGTGAATTATTCTGCAGTGATTGGGGCATATCATCACCACCTGTGGAACAAGGCTTTGTCAGCTTTGGAAGCAACTCCAAATGCCATCAGGAAGCTATGGTGCTGGCATGGCAAGAACAAATAGCTGCTCAGCATGTGGTGGATGCTGCTTCAAAGCAGATAGCCACGGTGGTGACCTTATGCCGTCATGCTTGTCTATGCTCAGCAGTTATTTCAGAGGACACAAGGTCCAGGATCGAGGACCTCCCCTTTGATGGGTTAGGTCTGTTTGATAACAAGACGGACAAGATCTTGGACAACTTGCTGAAGCTCAGGAAGACAGCCAGGTCATATACCAACCAGCAGTACCATTCATGAAATACCTGGCGCCAACCTTACCCCTACAAATCTTCTCAGGACCATCAAAGACTGCAGGCTTCCAGGTTTCCATCAATGCCCTTCTGGCGGCAGGCAAATAGCACCCTTGCCAACAAACGCATCACCCTGACTGAAAACCGAGGTAGGGCCTTTGACTTTTCCTACCCACCAGCAGCAATCAACCCTTCTATTCATTTGACCTCCTTCCGCAACTAGCAGACCATCACTTCAATTCCTGGGTTCTCACAATTATAGCCAGGGGCTACGCTATCAAATTAGACACTCCTCCTATGACAGGGTTGCTCAAGATCACCAACCCCTCTCCCCCGTTGGAGGAGGAGGTTGACTCCCTGCTTCAAAAGGATGCTATTGTACAAGTTCACAACCCAGATATCGCACTTAGCTTCTTTTCTCGCTACTTCACCATTCCGAAGAAGGAAGGGTGCCTATGCCCCATCTTGGACCTCCATCCCTTAAACTCTTA